AGATGTAAGATAAGAGATGGTAGGGGCAAGAGTATGTGGAGGTTGTTATGCTTAGCATTTTACTGTATCTGTGGTTAGCTGGCTCTGTTTTCTGTAATAAAGCACCACAGTAAACTACCTGTTCTGATGTTATCAGAAATTGTCACTTGATAATTCCCACTTGCATCATCTGCAGAATGTGGTAGTTTAACTCCCTTTGTTCTCCCATGTGTTAAACTTCAAAATGGTGCATTCCCAGTAAAAGATATAGTTTTAGAGCATAGTTCTTCATGCAAAAACTTTTTTTTTTCCAATATAATACCGAGGTATTTTTTTTGTTCATCCCTGCTGTATTCTGTGTACCTAGCACAGTGCCTGACAGGTGGTAAGCACTTGGGAAATTTAGTTGAGGGACAAATTTGAGGTTACATTTAGATTGTCGGCAATTTTTAAATCATTTAAAATTATCTTCTTATTCAGAGATGCTCAATTTGGAATATTGGTTTTTAAATCTTAGACCTGTGTTAGGACAAGTTGCCATTATACAAATATAATTTTAATGAAGCCAGCTGCTTGTTATTTTAGTAGCTTTTTCATACTTATATAAGGAAATGATTTTCTAGATGAATGAACTTCTCCACTATATTAGTTATCCGTTAATGATGTCTGATTGCAATATCCTGGGAGATCCTACACCAGAACTGCTTGGTCAGGCCATTCCCAAACTCTGACCCAATGGAACCGTGAGGGATAATAAATATTAGCAGTGTGAAGTTTTGTAATGTCACAATATAAAGACTTCCCTATATATTTTACTTGAGGAATTCATCAGTAGATTACCGTTGCACTTTTTCCTTCTCAAAAAAGAGTGAAGCTCTTTAGAGGAAAAAGATAAATGATAAATCAAGCCATCTAGTCAAATATAAAAAGGATCTACTTAACTTTAAAATATTTATATAATTATAAAGTAGTCCATGTTCATCATAAAAATCAAAACAATGCAGAAAGGTAATCAAAGGAAGTTGTAAAAATTACCCCAAATCCTGCCATATTTTGGTGACTCTCCTTCTGAAATCTGTTTATGTGCATAGACATACACACAGATCTGTCTTTTCCTTAAGTAGAAGTCATACTATTCATATGTGTTCTTCAATCTTTTTTAACCCGTGCCCTTTTTTGAGTAGCAGAAAAACCAATGCCATCCTTGAATGCGATTGGAAATTTCACAGTAAATTAAATACATGACCAAAACCAACTTTATTTTATTTTTTTGAAGATTTTGTTTATTTGACAGAGAGAGACACAGTGAGAGAGGGAACTCAAGCAGAGGGAGTGGGAGAGGGAGAAGCAGGCTTCCCGCTGAGCAGGGAGCCCGATGCGGGGCTCGATCCCAGGCCCCTGGGATCAGGACCTGAGCCGAAGGCAGACGCTTAACGACTGAGCCACCCAGGCGCCCCTGACCAAAACCAATTTTAGACAGAGCTAATTTCAAAGAAGGGGAAGCATTTTTAGTTTAATCTTAAAAGAACGTTTAGTTAATATGACATTGGCTTGTTTCCCATAAAGCTGTTTATCTTGGGTAATATGGAAGATAGAACATAATAGATATTTTATTTATTTATTTATTATTTATTTATTTTTTCATAATAGATATTTTAAGTATTTGCTCAACATTTCATGAGAGAAGCTGAGTGCTGTTTAGGAGAGAGAGACCTGCTAATGGCAGCTTCGTCTTTCCCCTGTTGCCTTGAACTGTTAAGTTCTTGGCCCCAAATTTGTGTATTCCTCTTAGCAAAACAGAAACCTGCAGTTAACTGGAGATTAGCCATTTTAACTTGGGAATGCTCTTTGGGGAGTATGACCCCTGCCCTTGTCCCCACACCAAGTAAGTGGTCTTTTCAACAATATACAGCGCTCGCTCTAAGGTGAGTTTTGGCAAATTTTTCTTCTGTCTTTTCCGTGATGTTTTCATTATGGATTGGCTGGCCCACCCATTACTCTGGCTCTGTTTTCATATATGATTTGGCTGTTGTCTCACACTGTATATGCTTGATTGCTCTTCTTCCTAAACTTGTTCCCCTCCTAGTCATCCCCAGTGAGTAAATCCACATCTCTCCATTGGTACTGCTGCTCCCTGAGTCCAAGTATCCATCATCTTTCTTTCCTTAAACTCACTCCTGTTGGTTTCTGTTGGACATCTTTATAGTCTCTTTTTCTATACAGTAAACATGGTTGATCTCGTAAAAAGTATAGAATCAGATAATATTACTCTTCTTAAAACCCTCCTTTGTGCTTGGAATAATCTGAATTAATTGCCGCCACCTACAAGGCTCTTTGAGATCTGTCCCTTGCTTCGCTCTTGTCCTGATCTTTTGCTCTTCTCTCCCTCGTTCACTCTGCTCTAGCTGCGTCGCCCAGACATCTCAACATTTCTTCCCCCAGTTGTATCAGTCTTGTTCCTGCCTTCACGCCTTTGCACCAGCTGTTTCCTCTGCCTGGAGTGCTCTGGCCCAGCACTCCCTGATAGGCCCCTTGGTGATAGTTACGCAGGTTTCGGATGGATTTCACCTCCTCACAGGGAGGTCCTCCCCAGTCGTCCAGTGTGCAGTGCCTTGTAGCTCCTGTTCGCTGCGACACTGTTTTATTTTCTTCACAACATTTAACAGTCTTGAACCATCTTTATACCTTTGTCTCTTGTTTATCACTTCTTTTTTCCCTTGTCAGAATTTAAGTTCCTTGGAAGGGTAAATCTTGTCTATCTTGTCCATGTTGTATTCCTAACACATACAACAATGCTCAGTAAATCTTTATACCTAAGTGGAAAAAAAAATCAGTGAGCGAATCACTCAGATGAAGAAATGTACTTTTTAACACCCTAGGGTGGCTGGAACCAGCTGTTCGCGGGAGGTCGGGAGGTTAGGAGGACGGGAGGAAGGTGAAGGGGGACTTTTAGTGAAAGCACCTTTTAGTCCTCGTTAAAGCATAAAGAATACAAAATGTAGCCCAACAGTGAATGTCACAAGTGATTTCACATTGAAAAAGGACAAGTTATTCAAACAAAGTAGAATCAGATTAATCCTGAGGATTTCCTGTACTATTAATAACTTCAGTTGCTAAGCTGTGTAAGATAGGGAGATAATTTGATCTTCACGCCCAAAGGAGATGCTTGATTGTGAATGGTGTTTATTTTGTATGAAAAAAATTTTTTTAAAACATTGTTCTTTGAATATATATGAGAAAAAATTCTTAGTGTTGCTTGTAGGTCATTTCTGTCATTAGATCATACTTTATATTTTGTAATGCTTTAATTTATGTATTTTCCATAATTGTTTTCAAATAACTGCCATGCTATGGGCTAGGAAAGATTATACTATAAGGGAACTATTTTAGTACCTTTAATAAAATGTGCCCCAAAGAATTTTTTATATTGAACAGTAAAGGAGAATGTGTTTATAAAACCTATAAGAAATTGAAATAGGTTACTCTATAATTACTAGTGCAACTTTGTTGTTTAGTTTGTAAACTGGTGTTTTTTATTGTCCCCTAAAGATAAGGGGAATAATCAACCTAGTGATTTATGTTAAATACATCTGAGTTAAACTTTCCATCCGGTTCTTTTCTTTTTCACATTCAGATAGTTTTGGGTAAAGTAATGGTAAAACTAATATGAGATCCTAGTTAGTTTTTTTAGAGTCAACGTTTTTTTCCTGAGAGACAGAGCGTGCGCATGTGCGTGCAGGCACATGAGTGGGGAGAGGGGCAACGGGAGAGGGAGCGGGAGAATCGCAGGCAGACTCTTACTGAGCATGGAGCCACACATGGAGCCCACCCACGACCCAGAGATCAAGACCTGAGCCAAAATCAAGAGTCAGACACTTAACCAACTGAGCCATCCAGGCATCCCTTAGAGTCAACATTTCTTAAATTTATTTTCAAATGACTATTGCCTTCAAAGTGGCCATCTAGGGAAGTGGTACATTTATTCTAACAATGCTTCCATTCCTTAAAATACCCTTTTCAGAGATGCCTCATAGTCAGTATTTAGCATCTTTTGCTTTACTTTATAATCGAAAAACCTCGTTTTTTTTTTTAAATAATTTTTTATTGTTATGTTAATCACCATACATTACATCATTGGTTTTTGATGTAGTGTTCCATGATTCATTGTTTGTGCATAACACCCAGTGCTCCACGCAGAACGTGCCCCCCTCAACACCCATCACCAGGCTAACCCATCCCCCCACCCCCCTCCCCTCTAGAACCCTCAGTCTGTGAAAAACCTCGTTTTTAAAACTAAATGAAGACTTAAAATTTCCTCTATTGACTTCATATTAATATTATATTAATTTATGAAGCCAATACTGCTGTTATGCATTTGAAGTTATGACTTGTGAGATCATGAAAGAGATCTTTTAAAACTCTATCTGTGTAAAGAACAAAGAACATTGTATAACTTTGTGAAGTAATAGATTGAAAAAAAACCAAACCCAGACCTGAGTGACTAATTCACCCTCCTTTTACATTTGCATTTTATCTGAAACTGAGGGCAGTGTATTATGCTCTACTGTAGATGGAAGTCATGGGGTGCCAAATCCAGAGGAAGCACCTTACCTTTGGAGGTAAAAAGTAGACTCTTTTTAGTATGAGTGAAAGTTAAGGGTCTATATTTAAACTCTGTCCATAAAACTACTCTTCTTTCATAATTTTTGACGTCAAAGACTACAGACCTGTTTTGGACGGTACATCTACATTAGAAGCCAAGATACACTTACTGGAGAGAAGTAGTTGAAGCTTTGTTGGTGTTTGTCCTTAGAAAGCAGATAAGTTTTATTGTGACATAAATGGATTATTTGTTTTAGTGCAAGTCTTACTGTCTTGGCCTCCGTGACCATCAAGGGCTTTTATTTTCTTTATAAGCCAGTGTTTTAATCTTTTATCTCTAAGGATCACTTTTTATTTACTTTATTAAATGTCATAAATACATGGGCTTTAAAAAAAAAAAATCTTCTCTTTCTTTAAAGCTGCACATCATTGACTCCTGGACCCAACTGTGACCGATTTAAACTGCACATACCATATGCTGGAGAGACATTAAAATGTAAGTAAATGATGACTATTTTATTGAAAGTGTAGATTACAGTGCTAGTTATCAGACTTTGTGCTTCCTTTTTTATTTCCGTCTGTTAGGTGTTATCACTAGGATTTACCACTTTTTTTAAAAGTTTATCTTTCATTTCTAGTTCTACTCAAAGTAAGGCACTTGGTAGGGAATAAGCTGTGGTCAAATACGCATACACCGAAATTCTTAATTTTTAGGCCTGGGGGTAATTCTTGTATTTTTTTTTCTCCATTGGCTGATCTTATGTAATACCCCAATAGAGAGAGTCCACTGCTTTAAAATACCTGGCTATTTAGAAACAGCATTTAGGTAGGAATGACTGCTGTGCACCACTCCCGTTAACCCCCTTCTGGAGCTGTTGCTGCCAAGAAACGTTGTGTTGTCGCCCATGTTCGATTGCCACCTGAGCATAAGAGTCCTACCCCAGAGACTCTTGGCATAGTTTAGGAGTGTCAACAGGTTTCCTCTTTTATAGCAAGGGTCAGAAATGCAAATGGCTACTACAGCTGGACTGGTAACAGAAATGAGGGGAACAGGCTGGGTATGGCAAGTGGGGGCACACCTACCCTCCTTGAGGGAACTGCCTCTGTTGATTTACTGAGAACAGGTGGAAATCCACATCAGTTTTGGATGCTGACTACTTTTTCAAAAATTAAAAACATAGTATGGGCCAGCGTAATGCAGGTCCAACCAAATGTGTGTGGGGTATGACTGGAAGGGACCGCTGGTTTGTGACCTTGAGGAAGAGCAGGCAGTACCTACTGTTGGATTCAGTCCACCATCTACACCACTTGCCTAGGTGTATCAGCCCTTCTCTGCTGTTACAACCAGTGTTGATGCTTTAGCCCAGTGTGGCAGTAATGGCGGCTTTGGTCAGTATCGATCTCACCAGGAATTTTCTCTCTTGAACCTATTCTTGTGGTGAACAGGGTATTGAAGTCTCTCCATTCTTTTTTTTTTTTCTCATTGTATATATTTATTGAGATATAATTTAAAAATTGTCTCCAGCTTTACTGAGATACAAGTGTAAGGTGTATGATGTGTTGATTTGATACATTTATATATTGCAAAATGGTTACCGCCATGGCATTAGCTTCTGTCCTGTCAAGCGATTGTTTTTTTGTGGTGTATTTTATACAGTATTACAGTTCTGTGTCTTTGGATGAATTTATACATGCAGGTTCCTGCCATCTGAATTACAGCATGAAACATCCCCATTGCAATAGTTTGTTGAGCGACTCTTGCCACTCAGTTCCACCCCACAGGCACCTGTGGGTCTCTTTTTCTTTTCACGGAGCCCATTTCTGAAATGTTTCCATGTTGCGTAGATCTGGACTCTGTCTGTCGTCCGGAATCATTGCAAATCGTTACGTAGGTGACCTTTAGTGTCTGGCTTTGCTCACTAAGTTCTTTGTGGAGATGAAGAACCCAAAGAATTAGCAGTGAGTGAAGCTTGTGGAAAGAATTTAGGATTCCGTAATGGGGTGTAGGGAGTAGATGTTAGGATCTCAGCAGCAGCTGAAATGGATTATTTTGTGGCCAAAAGAATGGTCTGGGAGAGCCTTAAAATTGGAGCATATGCTGAGTTGGAAGGAAGGTATGGGGTGATCTGTATAAACTAGGGAAGCAGGGTAGGCACCATCGGGGCCTCCTGGAGTGGCATCCGTGTGTCTCTTGGAAGATCTGGTCTTGACTTCCACCCCAGCTAATTACTGTTGTTTGGCTTTCTTGACTTTTGCTCTGTGGTTCTTGAACCAAACCTGCAGTACGGTGGGATGTATCTCCAGTTTTGAGGCCATTTCTTTCTGAAGGCTGGGAGCGGGGTATGGGTTCTTGCTAAACAAGAATTCCGAATCTGCCAGTTATTGCTCAGTGAACCTGGTTCGTTTCCTTTGTGAATGTTTCTGACCCTTTCCTTTAGGAAGGTCTCCTGTGCCTGCCATCCCATCTAGCTGGGTCCCCATGCTCTGGTCCTGTGTCAAGAGCTCTGAAGTCTCTCCATTCTTAAAAAGAGGAATAAAGAACATAAATGTTAAAGATGGGACAGATGAGTAAATAGTGCCTTTCAGACTGTGGACTGTGTATTTTACAATTATAGGCCACCAGGGGCCACATCTTAGTATTCTGTAGAATCACAAATGCAGCATTAAGTGAAAAATGTAGGACATGCTAACTTACGAACCTGGCATTATTAGATCATTCTCTGGAAACCATTAAAATACATAGGAATTTCACCTGCCTGAGGTAGTAGGACATTCTAGATTGTGACTGTTTTTGAAAAAATTATTAACTGAATTTAAAAGAAATGATCAAAGTAAATCATCCACATGGTTAAAGATATAAAAAGTTCAGAAATTTTTTACACACGAAAGCAGTAGTCTTCTGTTACCTATCTTCCCAAGTCTAGTCCTGTTTCCCAAGGGAACCACTTAAATTTTGTTGTTGTTGTTGTTTCAGTATGTAGTTCTTCTGGGGATGATCGTCGTATGTCTAAATAATGTTTATGCCTCTGTTTCTTGACTTACCAATTTTAGATATTGTTATCTTTTGACTTCCTGCTCTGATACATGAGGCATCAGCCTATTTTCACCACGCTCTTTATCTTTCTCTTTCCTCGCCTTTAATGTAGTTATTATCACCACAGTTGGTTCCTGTGTTGGTTACCCTGTAGCTTTAACATTTTTCCTTTCTTTTTTTAAGGATCATTTTAAGGATCATTTTGTATGGTACAGTTAAATGAACAACCCCCTAGAACGTTCTTAGTAAGTGCCCGGCACACAGCACTGTTGTTATGTAAGGACAATCTCTGGGTTAGTATATTTTTATTTAGTTTCCTATGAACTCAGAGAGAGTGTCTTTGGGCTCCCCACTTTGTGAGATGAAGATACTACATCCCGCACTGCTCTCCATTCCTCTTCTTTCACCTCCCAACTTTTGTATTATTTTCCTTTTGCAGTGTCAAAATTTGTAACTTATTGTCTGTTCTAAAACTAGAGTGATCTTCTGTGCTTTGTTTATAAATTGCTTGAATGAGTGATCTGTGCCTACTCCTGTATTGTTATCACTCTGGGGTTTGCCTGTTTTATTCTCTTGGATTCGACCTTGTTTTGTAGAGTTTGTGTATTGAAAATTGTGTTTTGTAGGTTAAAGCATAATTGCTGGAACACAGATACCTAGCTTAGATTCCATTCCTTCCTCCATTCTTCTACCTTTCCTGGGGCGCTTCTGACGATTTTTATTTACCATAGTCATAATTAGGTATTTTAGTTTCCAAGAGCACTTTCTTGCTCTTGCTCTCTGTTCCTCTTTCACAGCATCTTGTTCTTATTTTATGAATACAGTGTCTTGAGAGCTTTCAAAGAATACAGATTTTTTTAAAGATGTTTTCTTAATTATTTTAATTTTCTCCAGGGATTGTATTTTTGTTTATCATCTTTTTCCTTCTCTGTTATTCTGTAGTCTTTCCTTAAATAAAAGATGGGTTGGCATGTCTGGGTGGCTCAGTTGGTTAAGCGTCTGCTTTCTGCTTGGGTCATGATCCAAGGACCCTGGGATCGAGCCCAATCGTGGGCTCCCTGCTCAGTGGGGAGCCTGCCACTTCCCCTGCTTGTGTTCTCTCTCTGGCTTGCTCTCTCTCAAATAAATAAAATCTTAAAAAAAAAAAAAGATGGGTTTTGGTTGTTTACTTATATTTATGACAGACAATAAAACATTGATAAGACTTCTGTATGGGTGAACTGAGCTTATTGAGTGTGTGGGTTAATGGTGGGCTAGCTGTTAGTATGAGGAACCCTTATGTGTCATATTAGGGAGTTCAGCTGTTCTGGTACTCGCTGAAATCATTCTGTTTCTTTAGAAAATCCCCTACATTTTTTGGAGGGGCATACACATCTGGCCACCATGCCATTTTTGGGGGGTGGGTATCATAGACTATTCCCCATGGAACCTTTTGTTAATTTCCCCATTCTTAGCCCCATTTTTCATTCTTCCCTTTCCATACACTGGACGACTACAGTTTTTATGGGTTTGCCACGACACATGGCTTCCGCCTAATCAGTAGCCTCTTGCTCACATTATTGCAGCCAGAGCTTTCTCTGCCCTGTCTCATCAGTTCCTACTCCCCTATCTGCATTCTGCCTTCTAGGAATTTGTTGAAAATGCTATTCTATTGAATGCTACTCTCTTCCCTTCCTCTTCACTTAATATTGTTTTGGATTCTTATTTTCTCTGTGTCATTATCGTTTAATGGAAGGATGGGTTTTACAAGGGAGAAGAAATAAATGTGTGTGGTTAGTCCACAGTCTTGAGCCAGAAATAATGTAACATCACAAAGATCTTACTCGCTGTATAAGTTTGTTAGAAAGCATTTACTAATATTCTGTTATCTTCTGATTGCTATACAATTTTCACAGGAAACCTCTTATAACATTGATGATTACGGTATTTGGACAGGCATTCACCATATAAGTTAATTAAGTCCTATTAAGCTACTGCTCAATATAATCATTATATACTAGGGACTTAATTTAAGCCACAGAATGCTCTGGAATAATGGAATGAAGAATGAACTATTGAGGTTCTTCCACATTAAGATGAGTCAAGATTCTGGCATTCTAGGCTTAAATAGCCCACCGCCAAATAAAAGGAAAAAACAATTGATTATACACTATTTTTATAAAAGTTCATTGAATTCGAAGAAGGAGTATTTTTTTTCTTCTGAAATTCTTGACTTTATTTAGGAAGGCCTTCTGAAGGATATTGGTCATATGATTAAGTTTAGTGTTAGAATCCCTTGCTTTAAAAAAATTATGTGTTAAACTCTAGAAGTGGTATGCTTTGAGGTATCGTAGTGCTTCACCATGGAAGCCAAACTACCAACCTTTTAAAATTTGCAGATAGAAATTGTTTTTTAATAGCTGTTGAAAATGTGATAGAATTGTCAAAAATAAATCAAGTACATGAATTATGAAACACAAGTC